GTAATAATACTTCATGGTGTTCTTTTATGCAATAAAAATATGTTGATTGGATTTACATTAAGCAATGCTGTGTACCTACCTGACAACTGCTGGACTGGAACACAGTAATGCTGTCAACATTATTGTTATGGCGACAGACTTAGGAAGATAAAGGGGACTTAGGAAGAGAAGAAGGAGGGATATTTGGTTTATGTTCATTAAAGCTTATTTATAATAACAATATGTTTCGGCATTGGAGGTAGGAAGCCATAGTTTCTCTGTAGTTGAAGTTTCCTTCTACCTTGAGCCTGATCACAGTTTCCACCAGGTGTGATAAAGGGCAAAAGCTTCCTTGCTGAGAATAAAAACATGTTCTGTTCAGTTATTGTCTCTAAATCTGTTCTACGTAATGTAAACTTAGAAGATTGCCCATATTAATTCACTTTAAGAAAGTCAAAAACATTTAGCGACTTACCACTTTAGTGGAGCGATTACAAAAATAGTGGCCTATTAAGTACATGTTTTTTTTGTATTATTATGAATGTCCAGAAAACTGCGCAGTTTTTAAAATTATTTTAGACCTATGAAAGTTCTCATTTTTTATTATTTAAACATTTAAGTTGAAATTTTGAGAATGTTCTGCTAAAAGCATTTTTTTTATGTTTCTAGCAAAAATTTTGAATCTTGCATCAAAGATAGGAAGGTGAATATTTTTTTCAAACATTTGCAATTAATAGCGATATTGTCAAAATAAAGAAATCTGAGATAAGTCAACCCGAAATAAAGATAAGTTTTTTTAAAGCCTACTAGGTCATGAAATTGAAAAAAAGTTACAAAATTATTGATAACTTCTAAACTACGAAAAAGCCGCGGGCAAAAGCGTGTAATATTATAATATTATCATTATGTACTAATGAATTCCACTACTTTATATAAAGATATTAACGAAACACTCTAGATATTCAACTTTGTACTCATTTCGATACGGACCATATGAACATATAATGTACACAGCATTCACCAGTACATTTTCCAAGTCGATCATTAAATTCAAGCAAACCGCTATTACTGTATTCGCCATACATCCTTCAGATCAGCGCACAACGCTGCAATGCACTATTGCTGTATGATTACTTTTGCACTTTTTACCGGAATAAAACCACAATGGACTCTTACGGAACCGACTTTCAAAGTATGAAGCGGCAATATGTATTTCTACCATTTTTAAGGTATATTCTAAGTACGATAACCTTATGCACATTATATATTACTCCAGAAAAAATAACGCATCGTTTGATATACAAACCATTTGGATACGCCTCGTAGTTTAGTTATTATTCAAAAATTTCACTAAATCTCTTCTCCTGTAAAATTGTGTTTTGTCGATTGCGGCTTTATTCCAGGCACCCATCGATTTACATTTAATAATCATCACGTCACGCAACGCGAAAGTTAAAAATAAATTACACAAATTATTTAGTTAAATATTTTACTAAGGGTTCGTGAAATGTTAGCAGGAATTCGATTCTTGAATTACTAGTTTCAGATACATTGGAATTGCGAAAACACAAAAAATAGTTTTAAAATAAAAACTTTCTAAAAATGAAAAATCACAACAACGCAAGCGTTAAATCTTGACTCAATCGAGCTGGCCCACGCAACTAGGTAGCCTTAGTCCAGACGGTGAATGACTTAATGCACTGGCAAAAACCTGGCGATAGATCTAGTTTGACTAGAAATAGTTTATATAATTGTATTATAATAGAAGCTACTGTAAATCCTTGCCTTAATTTATCATGATGACAGATTTATTTTGTATAGTTTATATCGACATGATCCTTTTTGTCGCGTCCAATTATTCTATGATCCCCTCTTAAGTTACTCACCATTTTCATTAAGTTATTGCAAAGTTACAATTCAAACATTGGCACGAAAATAATTCTAGGCTCAGTTTAATGAATAATCCTGCCAACCACTGTATTTTTTGTAGAGTATCAAATTAGCTTCATTAAGAAAAAGGTCTAAGAATTAATTGGAAGTATTACTTAGTCAAGTCATCGATAACTCTTCTAGTGCCGACAGTATGCGGTATTGCGGTGGTGATAGCTTTCCAGGTCATATTCCCGTTCCAAAATCATGTAAAAAAAGTTACACGTGCAGGTACTTTTTCAGAGGCTGCGTTTATATGAAAAAGTTACACGCGTCAATATTATTTCATTGCTATAGCACAGTTCCACAGTTTCGTTGTAAAATAACATCTATCACAACTACATTAAATGCTAAATTGATGGCTTGATGTAGCTGTGGAGGTAGCGCGTGAAATATTTGGACGCATCTAATGCTGTGCAACACATTTTTAGTATTTGTAAGTCGCCTAATTGCCGACTGAAAAGTTCCAATGCTTTGTTTGATCAGTTTTGCATAATACCACTTCAACTACATTTATTATTTTGAAGATTGTCAAGACTAATGTTTCTGAAGTTTATTATGTAAGTTACGCGTACTTATTTTTTTACAGAAATCAATACGTCATATTGACAAGGTGAAGTAAGTTTTTTAACCTAATCTACACATAATATCTACCTACAGCTATACGCTACGGTTAATATACATTACTACGAATTATTTAATATAATATTTTTCTCTCCTTGTCTCGTATTTTTAAATAAGGGGGCGTCCATAAATTACGTGAGACAATTTTGGCCATTTTTCAACCCCCCCGCCCCCCTTGGTAAGATTTGGTGAGATTTTGCCTGACCCCCTCCCCCACCCCCCTAATCTCACGTGATATTTAATAAATGCCTATTTTGCAACGTCTATGCTTCGATTCTATTAGATTTATATGAAAAAATCAGTAACCCAGTGTCGTGCCACGCGCAGTGCAGGGTTCCGTAGCTTCCCGTCNTGCCTGACCCCCTCCCCCACCCCCCTAATCTCACGTGATATTTAATAAATGCCTATTTTGCAACGTCTATGCTTCGATTCTATTAGATTTATATGAAAAAATCAGTAACCCAGTGTCGTGCCACGCGCAGTGCAGGGTTCCGTAGCTTCCCGTCGTTTAGTAAGACAAGCAATTGTTTCAACCTAGGACCAGTTTTTTGATTCATAGTTAAAATAACTTTTGCTACTAATGGTTAAATATTAATAAAATGTAAACTAATAAGTAGTTAAAAAATGTACTAATTAAAAGTCAAGTTATCAATGTTTAACTAAAAAAAAAAAAACATTTTTTTCTGTTATTTAACCACTTGTCATTTGACATCTGTCAAATTTGTCTATTGGTTACTATAACTACGAATACATAATATTTTCATACGTATGTAATGTCATTTTTTAGGGTTCCGTAGTCCTGACAAGGAACACTTATAGTTTCGATATGTCTGTCTGTCTGTCCGAGGTTTCGCTTGGAAACTATTGGCACTGGGGAGCTGTAATTTTGTGAAGGTATGTTTATTAATCACGCCGACAAAACGGTAAAATAAAATTTTGAAAAAAAAAAATTTTTTTCTGGGGTAGCTCCCCTGCATGTAAAGTGGGGATGAATTTTTTCAAGGAAAACTACAATGGTTAAGATACATTACTTAGTTTAAGAGTAATTAATAGTCATTTGACTCATGTATTATACAATTTCTTAACCAGTAAAAATTCCTTAGAAGAAAATATGAAAAGTGACTTTAGATGAAGTAATTGCTTGCTTCTGAAATATATTGTGGTAACGACAGACAACTACGGAACCCCACACTGTGCGTGCCACGACACGCACTTGGCCAATTTTTTACGCAATAGCGATGCCGATGACGTTTTTTTTTAATTTCGTATTTTCTTAATTTCGACATTTATTCTGCATCTTTAGTGTTCACAAATGCGGATTAGACGGTTTGGAATAAATTGTCATTATCATCATTCAATAACCCAGTTTTCTGGCAATTTTACTCTATTTCTTGCGGGTAAAATTACGTGATATTTTCCGAGACCCCCCCTCTCCCCCACGTGAGATTTAGTGAGGTTTTCGTTGACCCCCTCCCCCCCCTAAAAGTCTCACGTAATTTATGGACGCCCCCTAATTGATAGAAAAATATGACAGCCTATAAGTTTGAGGTAGTTACCTTTTTCTTTAAAAACTTTTTGTTTCACCAAAATTGTCTGGCCGAAATGCTTTTTCCAAACTAAATACAATCAGCACGTAGTTACGCTTTCGAAAGTACTAAAAATTTATCTATTGTAAGTATTTAGCATGGTCGGATTTTCCCGGTTCTTTGTGCCAACTTTCGCTAAGCGATTTATTAAGAATAAGACTTGCTAGGGCCTCTGATTTTCGTAGTCGTTTGGTGGCGCTCGCGCATCCAAGACACTTAATATCAGGAAGTATCAATTTTATTGTTTTTTATTTAGAAAAGCAGTCATTGGAGAGATTGGTTTTTGAACGCGGTGTCAGGCCGAGACTGATTGGTGACAAATGATTAGTCACTGTGCAAGACGTGGTTAATTAGTCCAAGAGTTTGGTCTCGGATTTCTCATCAGCTATATTACTTAATTTGCATTGGCTTCCAGTAGATCATGCCATTTTTTTTAAAATAAATATACATTGAATCATTCCAATCATAGGAATAATGATTTAAGATAATTATAGTTGATGCCTTCAAATTTGGCATTATAAAAACCGGTAACCAGACGCCTATCTATGTAATTCTAGGTCATAGACGTCTAGACATGAGTGCACGCAACTAAATTAGTGGTGTTTGTGCAACAAAGTACGAGCAAAATTCGGTGTTAAGCGGACGAACGACGAGGAGTGAAAGGCGTGCGCTTGACCGTCTCGGCGCGAGCGGGCAGCGCGAGGACGCAAGGGCGCCGTGCGTCTTGCCGAAATTATTCGGGGCCCGCTGCACAATCGATTTTTCCCGCCCGATGCGGAAAATTCTTCGGGGCGGGGCGGGTGCGCGGCGTGAGGAGGGGGTCGCGAGGGGGCACGCGGCGGGGGGCAGGCGGAGTGCAGCGGGGCGGTGCAACGCGCGCCGCCGTCCCGGCCGCGGGCAGACAGTAGGACGGCGACGGCACTGAGAGTCGGTGAACACGGCGCGAAGAGCGCGCTCGCCGCACCGTGACATGTAGCGCGGCCGACGCGCCGCAGCCCTGCGAGACCACCGCCGGTGGCGGCGCGCCGATGCGCCTGCCGTCCGGCCCGACGCCCGCGCCGCGATATCTCGACCGATACGCACCACAACCTCACGATCACCAGTGTCGCTTTCACTGTTTCACCTGAAGCGAGCCCTTCAGCCCGTCTGTATTGACGACCGTCGGATGGAACCCGGAGTGCGCCGATTCGCATCAAGGTTAGACGAATATTTGAATGTGAGTGTTTGTGCGCCGCCCGCCGCCGCCAGCGCGCCATAGCGCACCCCTGCACTTCAGCTGTACGCGCACGCTACACGTCGTAACACCACAGGTAGGTCCGAAACACGTGAAAGGGTACGTCAGCGTTAACCAGTGACTCACGCAAATTTCCATATCAGACTTACGCATGACCGAAAGTTTTCTTTGCTAACAACACAAAGTTCGTTGTTTTGCAATTTTAAGGATACAAAAGAAAAGTTTGAAAAGTTTTGTAACGAAAACTGATCTGAACGTATTGTTGATAGAGTCGGTTTTCATTGTCTTGTTTGTTTTCTAATAATTTTGTTATGTTCTATGCAAAACACTTTTAACTGATACTAGTTGCATATCCATAGGCATAATAACTATTGCATAGCGACGCGACGCTCTAATCGGCTAATCCGATATTGCACTGAAACTTCACATTTCGGTCACGACGCTAATCAATGCAATTTATCAGAGAGATAAGCGCGTACCCTTTTACCGGCAAAATTGCATTGCTTTTGTATAATTTGTTTTGTATTCTACAGCCCCTAGTATTATTTTGCATTTGTAGTGTTTGAACGTGTGCAACATAAGTTAGTGAGATTATTTTTAGTTTTTCAACTTTCATCTTATCTAGTAAATAATAAAAAAAGAATTCTAATTACACTTACATAGTCTGTCTGGTAGAACATTGTTGTCAAACTGCATCCGTCGCTTTTCTTTTTCCATATAAAGGCATGTTACATAAATTGTTAGATGCACCTTCCAAATCTCCTTCCTTATCTGTTACTCTGTTATCTTGATACGTTGAATATGAATTTAAATACAAAGTAGACGAGTATACCTACGTCATAGTTTCCAAACTGTTATATTTGTGAAGTTTTATTCTTAGATTGCATAATTTGTTCTTAGTTTATTACGTTATATTTTAGTGAAAATTCTTAAGGGTAGTTTGTTACTAGTAGTAGTTTCTTTGTAATGAACTGTATTCTACTGTAGTACTAGTAATAATTTTAGGCTTTAATAAAATATTAAAATGCATGTAGGTATTCGACACTTTTACAGAAGTCTACTTTGTCAAAAAACAAATTAGTATTAATTTATTTTGTTCGTCTTCTTTTACTTATAATTTAGGAAGCTTAAAAAATTACTGCTCAAATACATAATAATTCTACTTATTTATGTAAAGAAACGTAGCAGTATAGACATATTGTACTCTTAATACTTTAACGTTTTTCTCACTAGAGAAGTTATAGTTATATGTCGAAAAATTACTGTAACTACGGTATTACACGGGTTATTCCATAATGATCGCATCGTGGTCATTATTTCATTACCTGTAAGTATTCTGTATGAAAATCTAATAGTTTGGCGATGTAGAACATTATTTTTAATAATTTTATTTTATTTGAAAGATTTAAATGTTTTTAAAACAAATACATTTAAAGCTTACATATTTTTACAAACATGTGAATAGCTTTTGGCGAGCTTTTACTACAATAAATAATGAATTAACATTAAATGATATATGTATGTTAACAACACAATTTATGGACATGTTGCCTTATTAGAGTTATCTAGTTGAGATATAGGCATGCTGTTTTTAATAATTTGAGTAGCTATTTTTTATCATCCCTTATCGATAGTGCACTCTCTTCACCTGTCTCTAGCACTCTTATTTTATTCTTGCATTCAACTAGCTACTCCTTAAACTGCAACAATTACTTTCTTATTCCATAACTTAGGCTGGGTTGCACCATCTTACTTTAACTGTGACAAACGTCAAAAATCTGTCAAACTCCATACAAAAAGCACCGGTTATCGTTATAGCTACGGTTAAAGTTAGGTGATGCAACTCAGCCTTAATAAAGGGACCTTTTATAGCTAAACTAGAGGATTAGAAGCAAAGTATTTTGTGCATTAAACAGCAAGTCAGTCAAAAGCTTACAGTACAGTTTCAAGAGGCTTAAAGCTCGCAATATTTTGTAACTTTTAAATTGTAATAGACCTGAAGAGATCTCGTTTAAAAGATACTTAGTAACCGTGTTTATTTCAGACAATTTCAATATTTATCTATAACATAGACTATTTTGAGTCTATAAAGTCTCTATATTATTAGTCTCTACATTTTGTAATATTTGATTAAAATTTGCAGTTTTCTGAAGGTAAGAGTAAACTTTTTGGTCAGTTATTGGTATACGAGACATTGTTTTGTATTCAATTATTATAAATTGAATTATTTTAACTTACAAAGCATAAGACGATAGTTAGTTCCGATGGTTCACTAGCCGAAATACAAAACCAACCGCGGTGATGGGTTCAGTTCCGCTAAGGAAAAATAATAGTGTTATGTGTTAGTCTTGGTTACACCATCTTACTTTAACTTTGATAAACGTCAAAGGTCTGTCAAACCCCATACAAAAAACACCGGTTATAGTTATAGTTATAGTTACTGTTTAAGTTAGGTTGTGCAGCTCAGCCTTAGAGCTCTATATCCTAGAGATGTAGAGTTAATGTAAGTAACTAACTAGCTGAACCTTATTGGAGATCTGCTTAGTTTAGATTTAGGTAATTGGTGATAGTAATAGTAACATGTAACTAGCGGCCCGCCCCAGCTTCGCACGGTTTGATATAGGTATAAAATGTGCCTATATTATGTTACTCAGAAAAAAAAAAGATTCTAACAGTAAAATATTTTTTCAAATCAGTTCAGTAGTTTCGAAGCCTATTCAATACAAACATACATAGATATAGAAGATTTTTTTTTTAAATGAAAACAAGGCAAAGCTGTATATTCGATTCAATTGATACTCAAATTCAGAAAAACTGAACGTCCTTTTTCAAGGATTTGAGCCGTTTATTAAATATGATGAAAGATTACTCAGATTATAGTCTAAAATCTCTATTTACTACTTATCTCACTACGGTTTTGCTTCAATTCCAGATGAAATTGAAGTACTTATGTATGAACATATCATACTCGTACATCACTCCATCACTCACTTGTATGTTTGTCACAGGCAATTTTCTCAGAAACCACTTGATGAATAGACTTGCAATTTAGTATAGAGATGATGCTAGGTCACTGAAAGAGCTATAGCAATAAATGCCTCAACATTGTCACTATCTTTTGTCGATGTGCTACGATGTGGTTTTTCAAACTCAAAGCATGTGTTTTTAACTTTATTTCTCGTTGACTGCAATTTATTTTTCAAAATAGGACTTGTGGCAGAAAAGATTAGAATTAAACATAAAATAGGTATATTTTTTATATAAAAAAATGAACGAAAGTTGCATGTTGCATTACAGCCAAGGAAAGGAAAAAAATGCACAATTGCAAAATTAAGGTAAAAATGTAAACAATATTGGCAAAAAAACATGCTTACTAACATTTTACACGTGCCTCTTTTTGAAATTCAGTCAGTTGTCGTGATAGTCAATAACACAATCAAACAAACCAATGTTTTAACGATAATTGCTACGGATTAAAATTTAGTGAGATACTAAGCAGATTACATCAAATTCGAATAGAGCGTAGTATTTTAAAATGATTTAATGTTTTTATTAAATAGTGCACTTCAATATCTCTAAAATGGGTAAGGATTATGGGAATGTCCTATGTCTCTATAACAGTTTTAGCACTTACTGTCTTATTCCGAAAAACTAAATTATTCTGCTTTTATAAGATCTTGTAAGTCAAACTTTAGAATTTGAAAGACATTCTTTCAGAGCATTTTCATGGAAAATTATCAACGATCAAAACATCAATCCATATTTTTTAAAGTCATCCATTAACATTATCAATCACAAGTAATTTTTAATGAAATTTCATGGCCATCGTTTCGTAAGAAAAAGAAAATTATTGTAGCGGATTTAAATAATAATTTCATGCACTTTCCTTTGTTATGTTACGCAATAAAACATATCGTGTCCTTCAGAGAAGATATAATGGCCTATCTGATAACAACATTGTTCGGTTAAGGTTATCAGCCATTGCAGTCTTACTAGCTTTCGAGTATGGAGCCATACGTAATCAGTGTTACCATGCATTTCCTCATATTAATTATCAAACATAACTATTTTTTACTTTCAGAATGACCATAAGGTTAACTGGAGGAAAATGCCGAATGGCATTAAGTTCCCTTATGTACCGCGTTTTATGTGCATATAAATTTTAAATTTTATTTATTTATTTTATTTTATTTATTTATTTTTGGGAAACATACAGTGTGTGAAATGTTAAACTTATGATATAATAATTATAATTCGCGCACAAAACTTTCAAAAATATGAATAGGGCTCGTATTATACCCATTTCAATGGAGATCAACAACTTAACTCTTGCAACTTGCGTGAATTATTTGCAATATTCCTTTATGGCATAAATTAACAAAGCAAAGTAGGTAAGTAATAAAAAAATATGAAACTTTAAGGCTGGGTCAAAAGTCTGTCAAACTCCATACAAAAAAACGCCGGTTATCGTTATAGTTACGGTCAAAGTAAGGTGGTGCAACTCATAAATTCATGAAAAGCAGATTTGTATTAAAAAGCGTATAATATTAACGACTAAGTAGGTACTTTTGCAGTTGTTTAAGAATTAAGAAGTAAAATATTTCCAATATTCGTAATATGTATGCAATAGTATTAATCGTGGGACAGGAAAGGTGCGAACGAAAACAAACGACGCACTACGTCCGCTAATAGAAATCCCATAGTTTGTATAGTTTACAGTCGACAGCATACCAGACTATACAGTTCCTTTACAAAATAGCATCTACTCCAGTTTTATAAGATACTGCACTGTTTAATGGGGTCCGTGGCCGAGTCCCCCAGTTTTCGACGCACCCGTGGTCGACGCCCCCGGTCAGTTAAATTCGATTTGAAGCAATTTTTAATCAAATGTACAGTCAGGCACAAAATTGTTTATAAACTAATAAATATTTATTAGGCCAGTAGAATTAAACGCAAAAATGAATCTAATGAAATGAAAATAATTCCTACAAAAGTTTTTTGTTTCTTACTACTGCTGGTTTTGGGTTAAAATTTTGCTCCCAGATTGCATAAATACCGTCAAACATGCATAGTTTA